TAGGGTCAACAATTTACGACCAATTAGGGTCAACACGTGTCCACGTTATTACTATGTTACGACCAAATAAATTTTCGACCAATTAGGGTCAAAAGTTTACATCTGCATTACGCCCAATTCCGGTCAATAGACGTCAATTACGACCAATTAGGGTCCAATTATTTACATTCCAATTACGACAACAGTTCAATTACGAAAAAGCTAAGTAATTGAGTTTTCAATAACTTAATTAAGTAGCGCAAAACTCAATTACTTAAGAAAAATCCTAAGATATATAACAAATTAATGTTTATGAAATTTTTTGACTCTTAATACTTATGCCAAATGTCTCATAGAGAATTATCAGAATCCTGAGAACTCGTCTTAACTTACCGATAAATTCAGTTACTTGAGAGAAATTCTCAGGCTTCTGATAGATCTCTATGGGAATATTTGAATAAGATATTATCACAAATATCCTAAACATTTTTATAAACAAGTTTTTAATGTTTTTTTTAATTTTTTTTGTTTTGTTCTGTAATTTCGAATGGGGAGGGTAACATATTTATAGGTTACGTTTGGTTGTAATGTAGAAGTTAAGTTACGACTACACTGGGTCCATAATACATTACGACGACCTAGGGACCATATTTATTAATTTGGCCGTAAAATAGAGGTTAGCTTACGTCTACTTTGGGACTCCTTCCTTTTACTACCACATTGGGGCTAATATACAAAAATTGGCCTTAAATTAGAGGTTATTTTACGACTAGTTAGAGATTATAATTGTTTAAAACCGAAACCACAAACCAGAAACCCCAAGCCTCAAAATTTAAACTTCAAATATATCATTTCAAAATTCCAAATTTCATAATCTCAGAAATCACTTTATTAATATTGGAAAATATAATACACAATACAAACTCGAAACTATATGTTATTACTCGTCATCATCCGAACCATCATCCGTGTCATCCATTTCTTCAAATTCATTTCTGTTGCTTTCGTCCGCTAAATCATATGGAAAATCTTCATATCCTAGGTTTTGCGAATCAACAAGTAAAATTTCATCAGTATATTGTTCATGCACTTCCACTCATTTACGACATCTCTTTGCAAAGGCGGTTATTCATGACTCACTACACGACCACGAGGTGTAACTTTTATTTTGGCTAACCAAGATATTCCAGATTGTCTAATCTTTGGATATGGAATAAAACAAACTTGGTCTGTTTGAGATGTCAAAATGTAGGGCTCACATTTGTTGTACCTCCGTCTGGGATTGATATCCACAACTCCAAACGTGTTATACTGAACACCTCTATTCTTTGTGGGGTCGAACCAGTCACATTTGAAGATGACACATTTCATCTTCACTAAACCAGAGAATTCCACTTCGATGATTACTTGTACGGACTTGTGACCCGAAGTAGTAAGAAGTGAAGTGAGATGTTTCTTCATTCAAACTCCCAGCAACTATTGAACCTTCTACCCGTGCAATATTTCTTTCTTTTCCTTTTAAATGTTTCATGGATCGCTCGCAGGGATACATCCATCCGTTATGGACCGGTCTATGAAGCAATGCCTCGTATGGGAGATGGAGAACTAGATGTTCCATGACATCAAAAAATGATGGAGGAAATTTTTTCGCCATATTACACATTAATATTGGGGTATTATCATCAATTTGTTTGATGATATTCAGTTAAGGTAAGTGAGCTAAGATCCCTGAAAAAAGCTCCAATACCTGAAAATAATTACAATTACATTAGTAAGATATATTTTTAACTCCGATAAATATGTTATATTTAAGTGAAAATTGTATTACCTGCAAGTGCTTCGTGAATATTTTTTAGAAACAACTCCGTAAATGCAAATGGTAGAAGTCGTTGCATAAACACATGACAGTCATGACTCTTCATCCCAAAAAAACTTTTGTCCCTGCTAAACACATCTTGAGAGATTTGACACATAACCATCATAAAACTTCACATCTGATGCCACCCACTTGAACAATGCCGCCTTCGCTTCTGCTGACAGTCTAAAGATAGGAACCAGAATTTTCCCATCATTTTTAATATGCAGTTCACTCCTACAACATAACGCATGCAAATCCAACCTTGAGTTTTTGTTATCTTTTGTCTTTCTGGGGACGTTCAGTAATGTACTGATGATGTTCTCAAAGATGTTCTTCTCTATATGCATGAAATCAAGATTGTGTCGCAAAAGTATATCCTTTCAGTATGGAAGTTCCCAAAATATATTTTTCTTGTTCCAGTTATGATGTGTCCCGTAATAATCAAGCATATTTGCAGGAGTATGCCAATTACCCCCTCTCTTGACTCTTTCTTGTGCACCATAGTAATCAATATCTTTCTTAATTTCCTCTCTATATAAATAATGAGGTGCGGTGTCCCGTACAACCACTTTTGCCTTGAATAGTTTCTTGTTTTGCCGGTACGGATGGCTAATGGGAAGAAATTTACGATGACAATTAAACTAAGACGTCTTCCTACCATGCTTCGGCTGAAATGCGCTTGTGCTTCCCATACAATAAGGACACACTAATTTTCAATGTGTAGTCCAACCTGATAACATCTCATATGCAGGAAAGTCACTGATAGTCTACACAAGAACGACTCGCATTGTAAAGTTGGCTCTCGTTCCATCCATGTTGACCACAATTCCTTCAATTCTTCTATTAGAGGTTGTAGAAAAACATCGAGGGACCGCTTTGGATGGTTAGGCCCATGTATCAATAGTCTCATGAAAATAAACTTTCTTTCCATAAACATCTCTAGTGGAAGGTTGTATGGCGTCAAGATGACAGGCCAAAGTGAGTATTGTCTTCTAGACATTCCAAAAGAACTATCCATGTGTGCACAATCCAAGATAAACATTGCGAGTGTTGCTTGCAAAATCTTTGTGCACCGAATTCAAGTGTTTCCACACTTTTGCATCTGAGGGATGATTGATCTCGTTTTCCTTCTGAGTATGTTCTGCATGCCATCTCATCGCTGCTACAGTCTTTTCAGATTGATATAACTCTTTAGCCTATCTGTAATAGGTAAGTACCACATTCGCTGGTACGGTACCCTATTATGTCCACGTCCTTGCGGTTTATATCATGGCTTCTTGCAAAAACGACAATCCAACAACTCTACATCTTCCCTCCAGAAGATCATACAATTATCTATACACACATCTATCATCTCCGAAGGTATGCCAAGACTATGAACCAACTTCTGAATCTCATAGTAAGATTCAGCACACACATTATCTTTAGGAAAATACTCTTTAAACAACTTTGTCCATGCATCCATACAGACTTCAGATAAGTTAGAGCCAGTTTTGATATTCATCATCCTAACTGCAAATGATAATTTAGAAAGACCTTCTCTACAACCTTCATAAATTGCCTGATTTGCGGCGGCTAACATGTCATAAAATATTTTGGCTTCCAAATTAGGCCCCCTACATTTTTTACTGTTACCTCTACATTTCCTGCTACTTCTGCCGCAGTCAGTAAGTTTCACGAAATGCATCAGTAACCGTATCATGCATCCTATCATGATCTACCACCTGATTCTCCTGAAGGTAACTTTCCGAAGGCAAATGTTGTTTTCTATTACGAACATTTTCAAACTGATTACTACTACTAGCTTCATTTCTACTACCACCTTCTCCATGATGAAACCAAATGTAGTGATGTGGAGTAAATCCTTTATTCACTATATGTTTCCAACTGTTTCACTAAGAGCGAATGTGGTATTCTTGCACTTACAACAGGGACATAACATTTTACCCGTTTCATGTGTGAGAGGTGTGTTTCCGGTCTGATACATAAATATTTCTTTCCCGTTGAGGAACTCGTTTGTCACCCTTCTCTCAGAATCTTTATGTGCATACATCCAACTCCGAAGCTCATAAATATCTCATGACATTTTTTTTTTACTCAAACTTGTTTCGTTTTTTTTGGTGTATCTAAGAAATGAGAATGAGACCATATTTGTAGGAAAATTTCGACATGGAATATTACCACAAATTTACTACCATATCATTTTATTATGAATAAACTACTTTTTATAGTAAACGAGACGTAAATTAGTTGAACTAATGGAATATCTTGATTGTAGATGTATAAATATAATATATATATATATATATAGTGAAATATCTATAAATTAATAAAGTTGAGATTACACGAAAACTATATTTTTTATTAATTTATAGAGATTATTAATTTATCGATATAATAACTGAATCAAAAATTTAATTTGAGACTATAAAATTATATTATTTTATAGAGATTTTGAATGTATATTAATTTATAGAATATTAATCTAAAAAAGTTATATTGTATATATATTTTAAAGACATATACATAATTAATATATAAATTCTAAAATGGATTTTTGCTTAATGGATTCTTTTCTCCACACATTTTGCTGCCATGCTTAATAAGAGTATAGTAGAAACTTTATAAATTTATACTAATAAATTAATAAATATGTTAAATTAATAAATTTTATTAGTTTTAAATCATTTTAAAATATGACCTAAATCAGTAAAATAATAATAAAATAATGATTTTATAAAATTTTACATAAATATAAATATATATATTTATGATCTAATTAAAATCATAAACTAATAATTTTATATATACAGTTTGTATATTTAGAAGCAAAAAAATTTATTATTTATTTATATTCATAGTGGAGCCCATTTCTATTTTTTCTTAACGATGCATTATATTTTAATAGTATTCAGTAATTTATATTATCTAAAATTACATTTATATTTTACGAAAAAATGTTACATATAAACCAGATAATATAATAAAACCATATGAAAGTTATATTTCTAAAATTTAATTAATATATATAGTCTTATTTTTTAAGAAAAATATATATTTAAATAAATAATTGTAAATTGGTATTTGTAAACTAATAAATTTATAAATTAATAAAATACTAGAGTCGTAATATTATTAAATTTATAGAATTTGTAATGTGCATGAGAATTATTTTATGCTCTCACAAAATAAATAATGTTGACAAGAAAATAAAACAGAGAAAAGGATTTTAAAAGAAAAAACCCAGCGTCGTTGCAACGCGAAGTAGAGCGTGTCCAATCTCTGAATAAATACAACACCAAAACCCTTACCGGCTCTCAACTCCACCAATACTTGCATCTCTCTCTTTAATGGCGGCGCAGATGGATCCCGATGCTGTGGCCAAGGCCTTCGTGGAACATTACTACTCAACCTTCGACAATAACCGTGTGGGTCTCGGCGGTCTCTACCAGGAAGCTTCAATGCTCACCTTCGAAGGTCAGAAGATCCAAGGAGTCCAGGGCATCGTCACCAAGCTAACATCCCTCCCTTTCCAGCAGTGCAAACATAACATCTCCACCGTCGATTGCCAGCCTTCTGGTCCTGCCTCCGCTATGCTCGTTTTCGTCTCCGGCAACCTCCAGCTCGCCGGCGAGGAACACGCCCTCAAGTTCAGCCAGGTCTCTCTCTTTCTTTGAATAGTTTGATCGTTTAGGATTTAAGTTTGCTGATAGATCTGTAAGCCTGGCTATTGGCAAGTGATAGATCTGCTTGACATGTCACATGTGCGTTATTGTCAAGTTTATTTATTAGTTCAAGACTTGTATGAAGATTTATGTTTGGTTTTTGGTGTCTTTGATCTTGACTTGTTGGTTTAAAACAGCTATATAAAACAGTCTTTTTTTTTTTTTTTTGGTGTGATGCAGATGTTTCACTTGATGCCGACGCCACAAGGAAGCTTTTACGTGTACAACGATATTTTCAGGCTGAACTACTCCTGAAGAAGAATCTATACTATTTAACGATTTAACGATGATTTAAGTCTTGAGAACAGAGCAAGACTGTCTCTTTTGTATTTGAATTTGAATGGGGTTTGTTCGTTTGTCTTTTACATTTCCAGTGACTTCATACAACAAATTAAAATGGTTTCCAGTATGCTATTTTTCATCTGAATGTTTCTCTATCCTTTTGTTGTTTTGAGTTTGCTCTAACGAGAGCTCTGGCCAGTGGCAGCATCTCCAGGTCCAAGCTTATAGCCTATCACAGTGTTTTTTTTCCTTCTTACATCATTACAGGGAAGCGGCTAGTTTAAAAACACTTACCAGTTCCGTATTTTTTTAAACAAAACTTATAATCTTATGTTACCTGAGTTGTGACATTTGACTTAGTTAGATGAGTTAAATGCGAGGACAAAACTATGTCGCAATCGCATACTACACGCGATGTGACCTCAACGAAATCCTTAATCATCATCACCTACACTTTCTCTTCTACTTTTACTATGTTTAAAACGATTCACTTTACTACTACCAACCACAGCCAGAGCAATGCAATCATACTCTTCAGTGAAATCCATCTTGATCCAAGCTCGAGGGTCGTTAAACTCGCATTTGTCGGAGTTTGACCCCCTGGTTCTGCTCATAGCTCCGCTTCTCACTCTTTTTTCTCGCCCAGTTTATCGAATCTGTCTTCGGCTTTGTTCACTAGAAAGGCGTCAAAGCTTGTATTGGGGGGTTAACCATGAGCTTCCTCAAGTGAGAATCGTTTTAAAAATCTTATTTTCTTTTCTTCGATCCAAGTCTTGATTGGCGAGAGACTAATTTATTCTATGGGGACAAAATGAAACAGAAGGGTTCCTGGAGTTCAAAAGTACATAGATGCTGAGAAACAAAAGGTGTGTTGTGTTGTGTTTGAACTTGAAGATAGTTCATGTAATGAGCTTTTAATGCTTTAGTCTCTGTTCCTGTTATATAGTGGTAAAGGTTTTTAGCTTTTGGATTTCTCTCTTATAAATGTCTGCCATCCTTAGTAAGGGATAAGATATTATGTGGCAGCAGAAATGTTTTGGACCATGATTATTTGTAGCATTGAGATGAGACATAAGGCTGGTCAAGTTAAAATTTCATTAGAGACTTATTTTAGACTGCAACCATAGTAGCTTCTTTTTTTAAGGGTACAATTAGAGACTGAGAAGTTTATCTCACTATAACTACCATCAAGTGCTGCTAGTCTAGTTTCATGGTTGTTTCTTTTAATTCCCAGGTTGTTGATCAGTTACAATCTGGTGGAAGCTCTAAAAAAAGAACCGGGCTGAAGAACTGCCAGTGAAGGGTCTACGAGTCCAAGTTCTAGATAAAATGGAGATTGAAAAGAGGAATGATGCTATTTGGCAAGGCCAATGCTCTGGCACTGTGTATGTCTGTGATAGTTTATATATGTCTTTCAAAGTTTCTGTGGTTTCGGTGGCAATTTGTTTAACTTAATATTACCATTTTGCAATAGATACATAGGTGGAAGCGAGTCTGAAGGACATTTTGCATTAAGAAGTCAAGCAAGCTCAATGTATGTTAATAGGAAGAGTTTAGCTCCTATCTTCATGGAATATGACTTCTGCTTTTGTGTAGAAAGGGTAATTTAAATTTCGATGTGTATGGATAAGGGTTTCCAGGTTCTCGCATACCAATCCTTTGCATATAGACGTATTCCAAAGTGTGGTGCGGTTTGAGTCAGAAGTAGTCGCAATGACTGAGCGTTACTTGGAAGCAAAGAAACGGTTCCAGGAGGACAAATATGACATGACGTCTGGAGGAACAGAGAGTATAGTGTTGGCTGTGAAATCATCTCGTGACTATATGAACCACAAGAAGGGTATCACACGGCCAGAAATGTATGTTCCCTCCCTCATCATTTGAAATTCCTCTTATATAGTTTCAAAATGGAATCTTGTGTACATTCTATTCTATCCAGTACTGTGCAAAAGTGCAGTATTGTAAATATATCGATTCATCTATCATCTGAAACTGACATCTGGATTTTCTTTTTGCAAAATATCTGCTCCTGCGCTACAAAAATAGCACCAATTTGTTACTGGTAAGTATGTCTTGCTACTTCCATCTTCAATATGACAAGTGGAAATGAAAGAAACAAGAAAGCTATGCAAATCCTAACTTTTGTTAACTGTTTGAAACTACGTTTTTGCAGTAACTGAATGGTCAGGAGGTCTTTACGTGTCTTTAACTATAGCTGCGAAGTAGGCCTGGTTCTTTGGTTGCTGGTGCTTGGGCTGCAATGATGTCTCTTGGCGAAGAAGGTTTCACAATATTAACCTCTCTCTCTTATGCTTCTCAGCGAACACCCACTTGATCTTTAATTGGATGTTCAGTTTGCTTTTGTTGTTCCACAGGATACCTACAGAACACAAGCAAAGATTAATGGAAGCATCAAAGAGACTCGAGGAAGGGTTTGTCTAATTACTTTCACCTTTTTTTATATCTGTGGATGGTCGGTCCTCATCATTTCGATTCTTATAGCTTTGATTATCATAATCTGCAGAGTAAGTGGACTCAGTACTGAACTGTTTGTCGTTGGAAAGCCAGATATGACAATCGTTGCATTTGGTTCTAAAACATTAGATATATTTGAAGTTAATGACATCATGTCTTCAAAAACGCTGGCAGTTTCAACTAACACCAGAACTATCCATGTCTGTTTTGAATCAGCATTCATATATGTCTAACGCTTCAACACGTCCCGGTAGTCGATGACTTCCTCCAGGACCAGCGTGAAGCTGTAGAAACTGCAATTCCACTAGTGAAAACTCGTTTGATTGCTTGTTTCTTTCCTTCAGTTGATCTCTCCTTATTATTATAACATGTTTTTGGTCAGGTGAAAGAGCAAACCCTGGACCGATAACAAGAGGGTTGGCTCCTATCTCTGGAGCGGCAGGGAAGATGCTGGACCGAGGTATGGTGAATGAGCTTCTGGTAAGTTTCATGGACAGTCAATATTAAGTTTCTTTTAAAAGTCAGGGAGCTAAACTTTGTACATTCACAACCTCATAGTTCAACTTGCTTTACTAAAATTTCATCAGTTTCCATAATAAAAAAACTTAGTTCGTTACATTACATATTTAGAAGAAACAAAAAGTTGGTGATCAATCAGATTTGGGGTCAGAAGGTCTTGATCTAGGAACTTGAACCGGCTTGTCTTCTTGGCTTTTAGCAAGGATCTCGTCTCTTTCTCGGAAGTAATGGTCGAAAGCACGAGGTAAGAACCTAGGGATCAAGAAACAGAGTAGATTCACTCCAAAGTATACTAAATTCGCTATTGCTAAATACCGTCCAAACCAGAACCACGCAGCCACCTACAAAAACAAACGCTTCTCACAAGTTAATTACTTCAAAACGGTGAGCAGACTTTTGTATTCTAAGTAAAAAGGGGTATTGGCCATTTACATTAGGTGTAGCATTGACTGGTAAAGATTTGTTGAACCAAACATCTTTAGACCAATCAATGATGACAAAGATTCTCCAGACTGTGTAGAGCAATGGCACGAGAGCTCTTACAGGCGACGAGAACAAAGATAGGCCACTTATTACATTCTCTGTCAGGATCTGACATGACAGTAGAAACAAGTGTGGTGTTGCTGATCTCACCGCATGATCGTCTCCTCTTGCGAACCCACCTAACACGTAAGCTAGAGGCAAGAACAGACCAACCGTCGTCCCCGAAATCACATAAACCCTGGCAATATCAGATAAAAATGGTCAGGATCTTTATCAAGAGAGTTAACAAAAAACATTTATTTTTAGGGTCAAATCTTCAAAACAGTACATTTTTTCAAAAATTGCACATTAGAGAAAAAATCCTCAAAATAATATTTATTAAAAATTACTTCAAACTCTAAAAATCTTTACCCTAATCTCCCTCAACTAAATACTAAACTCTAATCAGTTAATAATCCTAAATCCAGTTACCAGTAAAATCCTAAATCGAAATACTAATAGACTAGTTTTTTTAACTTCAAATAAATACCATTTTAGAAGAATTTCTCCTTGTCTATTATTAGAACAAAGTGTTTAAGTGCTATTTAGGGTATTTCTCATATTTCTTCTATTTCTTGTGATGGATATGGAACCTGAAGAGTCTGCTGCCATGAAAGACTTCAGGTGTAGCGGTGGAAACTCTGTGAGAAGGGAAAGCCAAACGCGAGAGGGCGATAATATAAACAGACGCAAACGCTGGAAACAGCATATCGAGTAACGGTACGAGACCGCTTGCTGAGAAGACTAGTATGAAGGCAACTAGCTGTAACTCTATTACCCTCAGTGATCCCATTAAACCGCCACCGCCACCGCCGGCTGCCGACATCCCTGACCACCGTCCCTTCTCACTGGACGAAGTCGTTGTTTTGTCCCTATCGGTTCTTGGACCCACCGCAAGAGATACGCCTGACATGATTTTTTTCTTTTGTTGTTTGTTTACTTTGATGTGATGTGATGTGATGATGAGTTTAACGGATAAGTACTTAAACTGTGATAACGCAGAAGCTGCAGGAACATGATTTATGAAGAGAGGAACTCTTGTTGACGTAGTTCCACGTGAAGCTTGGGTGATCTGCACGTGTCCAAGTAAAGTCGTGAGTGTTCATTGCCTGCGTTTCAACGTGTCACGTCATATGTTTCAGTATTATTAAATTATTGAAAACTGAATAAAGTTCGATTAGATGGTGATGAGCTTCTTAAGATCGATTAATTATTTTTTATTATTATGTTGTAGAAGTATACATAGTCCAGTTATTTGATTGAGAATTCATGTTTACAACAGATTTTTAAAATGGTGCAAGTAAAACGGCCAAGCCGTGTTTTGCTAAAATAAGTGATTTGGTTGCTAAAGTTCCACTGAATCCAGAACAGTGGCATTTACATTATAAAATCATCTACTTGAGATTATATTTTTGATCAGTTAATGTCTTCTTGGAGATAAACTAATTGTTCAGGTTCTAAGAACATCCACATTGGTGAATTCTCCATGGAATTCACCAAAAAAAATGATTTTTTAATTTTTTGTTTTTTATAAAAAAAAGATTCGGACCAATAGAGTACCGTCACGTGGCGAATTCTATGTGAATCAGGTTCATTGCACTGAACTTTTCTGATACATATTCACCAAAATAATATTATTTTAATTTTTTTTTTCTTGGAAAGTGAACTTCCCCTATGAACCTCTAATGTATTTGCTCTAAAGATAGAAGCGTATATTGTGAAAAACATTACAAAAAAAAATCAAAGAAGGAAGAAACTTGTTGACGATTTTCTTCAGATC